TCCCAGGGACGGCTCTGTGTGTTGGTATCAACATGGGTGCCAGCCGGGCACTTCTTGCAGCCTCGAGCTCAGCTTATTGCCTTAATCGTTACTCAGAGTCAGAGAAAAACTCGCATATCCTGATCTCGCATCAAAGCAGATCAAAGCTTAATGGCTATGCTGATTTTCCTTATTGTTCCTTCTCTGCCCTGTATACAGACATCTCAGAGGGCAAGCAAGATTGATGTGACCGAGGGGGGGAGGGGAGGGGGTCTGTCTGGCTACACCCTGGGAGTGGGATAAGGCCCTACAAGCCCTGCTGTTCGCTGTAAGAGAAGTGCCACAGGCCTCAACCGGGTTCTCTCCTTTCGAACTGCTGTACGGAAGGCAGCCCCTTGGCATCCTAGACCTCATCAAGGAGACATGGGAAGAGCAGGATCCCCGCATACAGGGGACCATAAGCTATATCCTAAAGTTGAGGGAACGGCCAAAGTGGCTTGGCGACTTTGCGAAAAGAAATTTACAGCAAGCCCAAGAGCGGCAGGCCTTCTACTATAACCAGGGCACCAAAATGAGGGAATTCGAAGCCAGGGATCGAGTCCTCCTCCTGTTGCCAATAAGGGAATCAAAATTACTTGCATGGTGGCAAGGACCCTTTGAAATACTGAGAAGGGTGGGGCCTGTAGATTAGGGCCAGGTCGCAAATATACCACGTCCACCTCCTGAAGAAGTGGAAACCCTGCGAGGCCCTCGTGATAGTACCGGAGCAGGAGGAAGCAGAAGTGGGCCCCTGGACTGGTGAGATGGAGGGTCCCGCACCCTTAGCTATAGAGGCCGAGCTAACAACCGCCCAGCACTGGGAAGTGGGAGTGATCGCCCAGGAATATGCCACCACGCTCTCCAAGACGCTCGGGAGGACCCAAGCTATTTACCACCATATCTTGACAACCCCCAGAAAGAAAGCATGTGATGCGGTAAGACCCCTACCCCGGAAGATGTTGGACACCCGTCAGGAAAGAAGTCCAGGAAATGTTGCTTCTGGGAGTGATCAAGGAATCCTGGAGCAGATGGGAGGAGTGCAATTGTACTGGTACCGAAACCAGATGGGTCACTCCGGTTTTGCGTGGATTTTTGGAAGGTAAACGCGATATCCTGGTTTGAGGTCCACCCCGTGCCTAGGGTGGACGAGCTGTTAGATTGATTGGGACAGGCCCAATACATATCGACCATGGATTTAACAAAAGGGTATTGGCAGATCCCTCTTACGCCGGCTTCCAAAGAAAAGACCGCCTTCTCCACTCTGGTTTGTTCCAGTTTAAGACAATGCTGTTCGGCTTGCACGATGCTGCAGCAACATTCCAGAGGTTGATGGACCGAGTCTTACGGAAACACCGGGGAGACGCTGCGGCTTATATTGACGACATCATCATCTACAGCCAAAACTGGGCAGAAGACGTATGACGCCTACGAGCGGTGTTAGAGACCTTAAGGGATGCTGGCCTCACGGCCAACCCAACCAAATGCCACATAGGCCAACACGAGGTAACATATTGGGTTATACAGTGGGGAGGGGGAAGCTGAGACCCCTGTCGGACAAGGTAAAAGTCCTAGCCGAATACTGCTTTCGGACGACCAAAAAGCAAGTGCGGCAGTAATTAGGCTTAGCGGGCTATTACCAGAGATTTATCCCCCATTTCGCAACCATAGCGACCCCCCTCACGGACCTGACATGGGCCAACCAACCGAAAAGGGTCGTGAAGTCAGCGGAGGGAGAAAAAGACTTTAACAAGTTAAGGACCGCATTGATGGGGGCACCGGTGCTGAGGCAACCAGACTTCTCAAAGGGATTTGTAGTACAGACTGACGCCTCCGCAGTAGGATTAGGGGCAGTCCTGGCCCAAGAGATAGATAGGGAAGAACACCCAATATTATATTTAAGCCAAAAATTGTTCCCCCAGAAGAGGGCATACGCCACAATTGAAAAGGAGGGCCTAGCAGTAAAATGGGCAGTCGAGTCCCTTCGTTACTAGCTTGAAAGAGCTCCCAAGTAATAACTGACCACGCCCCCCTAAAGTGGTTGCAGTCCATGAAAGAGGTAAACTCGCAAATAACAAGGTGGTATTTGGCCTTACAACCCTACAGGTTTGAAGTGGCGCACCAACCAGGATGGAATCATAACAACGTGGACTTTTTTCAAGGACTGACGAGCAGGGAAGCAACGGAGATGGGAAAAAGGCAAACTCAAGGGGGGGTGTGATGGGGCGGTGGGGACCGCCGAGGCTAGCCCCGCACCCCGCACTCAGGTGCCGGATGGCCCAGGCACCTTGAGACCCGAGCGGCTTTGCTGAGTGTTCGGCGGCGGCCGCAGGCGCAGGAGGCTCCCCGGCGGGTGCGCCGGGGAAGGGGCAGAAGGACTGGTGAGAGTATGCGCTGGCGTCCCAGGGAAGGGATGCCGACTTCAAAAGGGAGCTCCCTGCCAAGAGAACCGGGGACAGGGACCGGGACCATGAGGCCGTGGGAGGTAGCCGCCCCAGACCAGCCAGGACCAGACCGAACCCGACGGAGCGACGGATACAGCGGTGAGGGATTGGCTCGCCAGGACTGGGTGAGGATAACCACAAGACCTGGTGGGGATGACCGGTGGCCGTCCCGAGAGGAGGAAGCAGCCCAGGATGGGACCAAGGAGGACCCGGGGACTGGTGAGTTGCAGCAGTAGCCCCCCCGGTAGAGTAGAATGTTAGGGACGCCTTTTCTTAGGGTCCTGGGCTGGGACCTGGAGAGAGGGAAGGCTAGGTCCCCCTACACTCGCGGCTGGCGTCACAACAGCAATGCAGGCTTCAAAAGCGTGAAAGACTCGGTGGCCCCCGGAAGGGAGGATCTAGACAGGAGGTCCAACCCCCGAGTGGGGAAGGACTCTTGACAGCTGGCTAATACTTATAGCCAGGGCTCGACAAATCACTGAATCTACTCGCCAATGGCGAGTAAATTTCAGCTGGTCGCCCCTGTCGCCGGCAGTGCGCACATGCACAGTGCGGGGCTGGCGAGTAGGTTTCGCCGCCGTTTGTCAAGCCCTGCTTGTAGCTGCAGGAAACTATCCTGAAGTAAGAGGGGCTATAAACTGGTACAAAGATGCTAACCTGTTTAAATCAGCTTGTGCGATCAGTTCCATATAGAAAAAGTACCTCATTTACTACTAAAAATGCAGCCAGCTGTAGGAGCAGAATGCAGCAGCTGTTTAACAGATTATTGCAAAACACTTCTATATTCTATTATTTCCATTACAGATGAGATAAAACAATTTTCCCTTTATTTAAGTATGTGCTTTGTTTAAAAAAAAAAAGGTTTAAAACTTTAACTGTTATCCTGTGGACTTGGATAAATAGTGTGGTTAGAATAGAAATATTATATGATTGCATATAGCGTGGTTAGAATAGAAATATTATATGATTGCATATAGCTAAGTGAATGATTCTCAAATCATTTTCCCATTTGCTGTACTGCCAACTTCCAAGGATTCAAGCATGAGTCAATGCCCACAAAAAACATAAGATTTTTATAAATAATACAGTTTGGGATCTTTGTATTTGCATTCTGATTTAGGGACCACTTATTCCAACCTCTCTCCACAATCATGAGGACTAGAAACATGCTAGTTATTTAAAAAAAGAATGGTAGTAGCTGAGATTCTCATGTAATAGCACGACTTCAGGAACCAGGTCTTTAAGAACTCCAAACCCAGATATCATGGGACTCGCCATAAAATTAGAGGAGTTGGTGACTTTGCTAGCCCATTGCATGATCTGATGATTGTGCTTGACTCTAATCGTATCTTAGCCTAAGCAAAACTCAGTTAGGAATTAATTGTAGTATTTCACCCATATCTCCAGATAACTCAAATTTCCACTATTCCTGTAAATCCCCATTCTTTTAAATGTAAATGATAAATGATGGTCTCTTCATTCCACTCCTTGTTCTGTGGATTATTGATAGTAAACAATTCATCTTCATGCTTAATTTTATTTCAGCTCCACTTTGTTGGTCCTTCAGTTGCATCTTAGTCTCTTCATTAGGGAACAAGTACCTAACCATTTGAATTCAAAGATAAGATTGATGACATGTCTAAAAACTAGTTAGTAGGAAAACCTTACATATATTCATGAAATGCTGTTCCTAACATATTAAAGGAAAGCTCTTTAAGCTTTATTTTGTGTGGACAAATTGAGTTAATTTTTAATACTGCAAAGATAGTTGCTGAGGGAAATATTTACTCAGAGTGATACTTACTAGGACAGGTCCAGACAGCAAAATTCAAACTGGATAAGGGGAGTTTAAGACTTCTTCTTAAAGAATCATTGTTACAAGCCAAAAAAAAAAACCCAAACTCATGTTTAGATTGCTTGCAGTCGTATCACTTAGGTCTGTGATCTCCTTAATACTTATAAACTAAAAAGGGTCAAGCCAGATCAGCACTAAGCTAGATGCTTCAGAAAATGGTGTTTGACATTGAGTGAGAATCTTCCCCTAGAGTCGGTACTGACCCAATACATTAGTCTGGTGTTGAGGATCTCTCAGCTACCCTATGCATTACTCTAGCAGGGTGAGGTGTCATCTTCTGCATAAAATAGAAGAACAGTTTTCAACTACTTCTGATTATTAAAAATTCTAGGGTGGCACTTCTCATGATGGGCATCAGTCCTTCATAGATTTCAGATTGCCAACAAAGCTAATTCATATAAAGACCAGATTATGTGCTGCAATAGATTATGTTAAAAACGTTTGAGGGCCAAGATTTAAAAATGACTAGTGATATTTTGTGCCCAATTTATGGCACTTTAAGAGATCTTAATTTCCTGGGGATTGGTGTGTAGTGTTTTCTGAAAACTGGGCCTTCTTTAAGGTATCACAAGTTAGACACACAAACACTGAAGCAGCCAAAAATCACAATTGGTTCAAAATATACTGGCTGAGAGAACAGAAAATTCATCCTATATCTTTTTCATTATTTTCTTGCTTGAGTTCAGGTTTCCACGGCTTCAACTCTGAATACCTTTTAACCGGTAAGGAGCTACCCCGTGAGCTTTATCTTTCACCAGAGCCAGACCACGTACCACTCAGGAAAAGAAACATTTCCAACAAGCTTGCTGAGGAATACAGGCAATTCAGATTGAATTTAAAGGATACCCCAATGTCAGCAGTAATTGTAAGGTAATCAGTCTTATTCTTTCAGGATGCCATAGACAGAGGTATCACTTTAACAGTGTGATTATATGTGGGGATATAACTAGGAAAGCTATTTTCGGAGAGACTATGGGCTAGATTTTGCTTTCATACTGATGGAAAACAGAAATAAGTCAGTGGAGTTTTATACCTGCAAAATTTGGCTCAGTGTGACAGTTTCCTCTTCCTTTTGCACCGTTTAGAGACTGACAGGTGGCAGTTGAGGCCCCAGGCTTTAAGGGCAAAGGGATTAGACAGAGAGAGCTTTATGAAAATCAAAATCCCAAGCTTACTCAAAACTTCTGCTTTTCTACATGTTTCTGGCAATGAAGTACCTAGAACCAGGTGCTCAGAGGTGCACGGAGAACATTCTAAGAACTTAAGTAGAGAACTTATCAGTCATTAAGAGGGCTATTTCCTTCTTGCTTTGACGCCTTATATATAACCCAAAATTCCATTAGCTCACTCTTCTTGTTTCACATTGCAAACTGTCTGAGCATGTTAGAAGTGTCTCCTCCCATTTCTCTTTATCCCCTTACTTCTAATCCACTGATGGTTTATCTTTGATATTTGCCTTTGAAAAGTACATAGTGCTGTTATTTCTTATCAAATGTGCCAATGTCCTTTGTAATGTTTCTGACCTACGTGGTGCTCACAGCAGCCCCAGAATTATCTGCGAAGGACATTGACATGCTACAAATTTCCTCTTCCAACATATTAGTGAATAGCTTCTTTTTTCAATGTATCTGGGAGAGTCAGCTGATGAACTGCCCATCACTGACTGATGTTTTTTCATATCCTATTTTGCAACTCTCACCAGAAAGCTCTCTCTCGTATTTTGAGGGGGATGTTACCTTCCCAGTTAGCTGTGTTTTCCAAATGATTTTCCAAGCACACACTGTTCTGTTGTCTGCATATTCTTTCTAGGAAGTATTTAATTTCTGGAGTGTGCTTTTGCACACCCTGTCTACTGTTCCACTGGGTGAACCAAGAACTCTTGCATTTCTGCACGTTATGGAAGAGAGAAAAAGACAGCCACTATGTCATCCTGAGCACACACATTTTCTTGAGCATCTAATTCCTTGCTCTCTTGAGCAGAGCAGTGCTTGCAATTAGCCTTCCAACCAGGAGCTCTGGACAGGACGTTAGCTTTACTAAGGGGGTATGAATGTGAAGTCATGACATTGCAGTTTGTCCAACCACCAGCAATGACTTACTTTAATTTTTTGTTGCCCACACAATCTGGTGCTATCAGATTTTAAAACAGAATTATGGGCAAGACCCAAGAAGACTGAGTTATGCTTCCCTGATACAGGCCTTTGAGAAAATGTAATCTTTTTCCTCTTTACTATTGGGAAATGATGAGGAGGCTCCTTAATGGGCCATTTCTCCTCAATCAATCTTGTGCTGGACCAGGGTAGTACAACTTTTTTATCCTTTGGATTAGGTGGACCTCTGATTCCTGCACCAGAGAATACCTGAGATTATTGTGCTGTGCCACATTCAAATGTTCCAGTAGGATGCTAGAACAAGACGACAAAAACTGCAACTTTCCCCTTTGTAGCTTTTCTTGTACATCAGCATTTAGAGATCCACTGGTTCAATTTTGAAACCATGGTTCCTGCTTTTACTGCTTGTCAAACATTCAGCAAACAAGAATATATTCCTGCTTCAGATCAACAAGAGCATTAGCAGCTAAAAGTTCCCTGAGAATCATGTCTCATCTTTCTCTTGATGGAACCCAACCACAGCATATATATTAATGTTTCTGGTCCTGAAAGCAGGACAACTTGTGCATGGCAAACTAATTGCCTACAACACATTTGTCTCACTTGAGCCACATCTTTAAAGGCGATTTCCACTCTGATTTTTTTAAGACCTTGTTCTTGGCTAGAATGAATTCTAAATCTTCTGGTCCATGGCAGTCAGGTTGCTGGTCACATCAACTTGACTGCCGTGGACCAGAAGATTTGGAACTATTGATTCCAGACTAGGCACATTACAAATGGCCTTCCCAGTCTGTTCAGATATATTGTAGTTCCTGCTCCAATAAATTGTTTCCACCTGAAAGTCATCTCTCAACTTGGTGGAACTGAAGATAGAATCTCTCATCATGCTACAACGTACAATACTGTCATATCTCCGATGGGAGGTTCCAAGGAATCAATTAAAGTACTGAACAGAATGGGTTTTTACTGGCAACAAAACCTTTTAGACTTGAGGATTAAGCAGATCACAAACAGGAAATGCCTTCAAGAGTTTACTCTCTACTCTCAGGTGAGGGCTGAGCAAGACAAGATTTTGTTCAAAGGGGACCAAACTGTAATCCTAACAGATTCAAGAGCCGACATAGCATGCATACACACTTCACACCTGGGGTATAAACATGCCTGAGACAAGGCAGGAAATGTCCTGACTGCCACAGACCAGCACATTTGGAATTCATTATAATTTAATATGTGCAATAAATGCCAAAATATATTGGCCAAGTATGAATGTCCAATTGGGAGCATACATGGAACAGGGTGAGGTATACAAAGAGTGTCGTGATCAACAGAAAGACTCATGAAATTCCAACCCAACTATAGGGAAAGGTTGCAATAGACCTGTTTCCTTTTAATGACAGGAACTGCATGGTCATAGGAAATTTTAATGCTAGCTTCTGAGAGATGGACTATCTAGAAGATTCCAGCAAGAACTATGATCCAGAAACAGAAGGTCCATTTTGCAAGATATGGTATATCTGACACTATGCTTACTGGAGCAGACTTCAGGTAATTCAGCACCAAATGAGAATCTGAGCACAAGATAGCTTCCCTCTGAATAACAAGACGGCAGAGTCGGCATTTCCCACAAAGCAACAAAGTCAGAGTTGACATTAACTACAGCCAAGAAACCAATGGCGGAGGCAAACCAGACATAAAAGGATCCCTACCTGGCAATCATAGATCACTAGAACTGGAAGGGACCTCAAGAGGTCATCGAAACCAATCCTGTCTTCTTGGCAGGACCCAGTACTGCTTAGACCATCCCTGATAGATGTCTATTTAACCTGTTCTTAAATATCTACAGAAATGGAGATTCCACAATCTCCCTTGGCAACTTACTCTAGTGTTTAACCATCCTGACAGTTAGGAAGTTTTTCCTAAAGTCCAACCTAAACCTCCCTTGCTGCAGTTTAAGCCTATTACAGTACTTCTTGTTCTATCCTCAGAGGCCAAGGAGAACAATTTTTCTCCCTCCTCCTTGCGATACCCTTTTAGAGACCTGAAAGCCACTATCCTGTCCCTTCTCAGTCTTATCCTTTCCAAACTAAACAAGCCCAGTTCTTTCAGTCTTCCTTCATAGGTCATATTCTCTAGACCTTTAAGCATTTTTGTTGCTCTTCTCTGGACCTTCTCCAATTTCTCCATCTTTCTTGAAAAAAATGTTCAATGTTGGACTCTTGAAATACACATTCCCAGGAGTGAATTAATATCCCAACATAGAGACTGATTGGTTGGTGAATCAAGACCTGCTTCACATAAGGGATACTTTGCTATAGCCCAGCAGAACGGACAGTACACAACAGCCGTTACAAGCATGCCAATCTAAGTAGGCAATTCATCACTACAAAGGAGCCAGAGTGAGTCTACACAGCACCCTTACCTCAAAATAAAGCATCATTCTGACAGGTCCCTTAACCCTCATGGAGTGAGGGTTACAGGAACGCCAGAATAGCACACCTGTGATTTCAGAATATATTTTGAAATAGCAAGTGCATTTAAAGACACAGAATTGCTATTTCGGGATACTTCCGGTATCCTGAAATAGCCCCACAGTTTAGACGTAGCCCCAAAGACCTGAGGCCACTATGTACAGGTGAGCAGCTCTAGGTCTAACCATCAAATAGCCATACAGCGCAAAAGGCAACAGTTCAAGTTGCAGTGGGAGGTAGATACAGATTCAGAACAATAGCAGAGATGAAACTGAAGAGAACTGCTGAACAGTCGCAGACAATAGGGGCCAAGGCCAGGACCTGTAGGATGTATAGACATCTCTGATGGAAAGTCAAAGGAAATAAGATATATGAGCAATGCACAGGCATATAGGATGTTGGTTAACTGAATGAAGGCATCAATGAGCACGTTCTCTGCAAAGTCATTACACAGACAAAGTGGGAGACAGATTTGAAGACTAGCACACTTGAAGGTCTGAGAGACTTATTACGTACTAGTAATCTCTGACCCCAGGAAACGCTTGCTTGCACAAAAGACAACAAAAATTGTTAAAGGAAAGATGTAGCAAACTGTATGGAACTTGGAGGGAAGAGCACAGGTTGCAGGAGGAAAACCTGTGGTGGAGGCACCACAAATACACTTCTTATGCACATGGCTAGAATGGTAGCTTCAGTATTTGAGTAGTTTTCTGAATACTGTTGGTTTAGTTTTAGAAACATGGAATCCTTCATGATATTACTTAGCATACAGTACATGAAAATGTCTACATCCTTACCTGCAGACTTCCTGATTCTCCTGGTTTGAGAGGTATAGATGCCATGGAGCAGGGGTTCCCAAACTTTTTGACATGGGGACCAGTAAATCCATACACGAACTTTTGGAGAACCGGTAACATTCATCTGCATATTCATTAATCAAATGAATATTCAAATAAGTTGTTTCTGGTCCTCCCAAAACCCCCAGTGCCAGCTTTAGCAAAGCTTTTGATATGGTCACCCACAATATTCTTGCCAGCAAGTTAAGGAATATGGATTGGATAAATGGACTGTAAGACAGACAGACAGACAGCTGGTTAGACCAGGGTTTCCCAAACTTTTTACTTTAGTTGGAACCCTTTTTTTTTTTCCAGTACTGTTTTTTGTAGTCCAAAAATATAAACACATAAAATACAAACTGAGAAAATACCAGACATATAACACGTCTGGCATTTTCTCATTAGGTACGTTTTATTATTACTAAATGTATCAGTTTGTAGTTTCAAACTGCCTGGCTGGTAAATGTGCTCAGGCTACATGAGTGTGTCTACCAGCCAGACACTTCGCAACTATTTGAGGGTGTGTGTGGGGGGGGGAACAATAGAATCCCTGGGCCAGACTAACTCGTGCTTTGCGGGGGAGGTTAAAGAGGGGCAGCGCCCCGAGATCTGCATATGGCTGGGTCAGTCCCGCTCCCTGCCAGCCAATTCACTCACCCCTCCCTGCTTCCCCCCTTCCCCCAACCCCCTCCCGGACAGCCAGTTCTCCCCTGCTTCTCCTCCCAATCTCCCTTGGCCAGCCCCGCTGCGCGCATCCAGCCCTGCTTCCAGCGGCCGCTTCCCCACCCCTGACCTCGTGCCCCCTGGCAGCCCTGCTTCCACCGGCCCCCCAATCTCCCTGCCCCACCCCGATTCCCCCGTCCAGTGCTGCTTCCGGTGGCCGGCCCTCCCCTAGCTAGGACTCTGCCGGGAGCCGGAACAACCGGCTGCAGACTCCGCCCAGGCCGGCCGAGGGCTTGGGGGACCTGGCGCCACACGGGCACTCCGGGAGCTCAGAACACTCTGGCAACCATGCTGAGGCCCAATAGTTTTTTCCTGTGGCCCAGTACTGGGGCCGTGGCCCATAGTTTGGGAAACACTGCCATGGAGGTATCATCAGATCTGCTGTGCTGGAAGCTGGTACAACCAGCTTCTTTAGAATCAGAAGGGTTTTCCAACAACCTGACTGCAAAGCCCCAAGCTCAAGATCCACTAAACTGAAATTCATGTGATTGATACACTTCTTAGCTTAGGTATTGGGTAACAATCAGAACCTGGAGCTTCAGGTATGTAAACGTTGGAAACACAACTGGATTGTCTTTTTTTGGTAAATAAAAAGCAAACATGAGGCCAAAAACATACCTATCTACACTCTAAAAAGCTGCATCAATATTTCAGTTACAGCTTCCTGCTGCATTTGGCTTGATGACTTTTAATATAAAAATAACCTTTTGCATTAGACTTTACAGGCTGTGTCTAGTTTCCTCAAAATGAATGTTGGCACATATATGCAGTTTTCCCCATTGTGCTACTCTGTTCCATTCTAGTAAGCATATCAAAAAAGTGACCACTTCATATTAGAAAAATGCTGGGGTAGCCTCATGCAGATATCTGCAAGAAAGCAGTTCAAGCATTTGACTTACCAGTCTTTGCAAGCTCCTTTCAAATCCTATGATCCCTGAATAAGTCAATGGAATTGTGATGAGCCAGGACACCTGCAGCCAACAAATTTTCTGGGGCATATACAGATGGTTCCGTGTTATTTCTGTTGGAGAACCTAGAGACTCTCCATGCGACTGGTTTTATAATAGATCTCTCTAAGATGCAATATGTAATTAGCTGTCAGTTACACTTATTTGCAAAAGGTTAGCAGCTCTAACACACTCTGGCTTTAGCAATCAATTTTGCTTTCCCTCCAGAAACTATTGCTAGGTTGATGATGAATTTGGCTCTGGATTGCTCAGCTGGGAATGGGGGATAAAACAAAAAGAGAAAGAGCACTCTTCTTTTGCTTCAGTTCTTTTTAACTGCATTTTTTATATTACAATAATTTATTAATGCCCATTAGTCATCATCAGTTCCTACACATGTGGTCAAGACTGACATAATAGAAAACTTTGCAGTTGCTTGTCAAAGACTAATTACATCAGGTTTATTATTAAGTACTTTTAATTTTAGTTATGCATAAAGGCAGCTTTCTTGTCTTTTAAATTCCCTTGTCTGCAGTGTTTTTTCTTTTTTTTTTTTTTTAATTTAAAGTGAAATTTATGATAAATTAGCAGGACTTCTCTATTTCGCTCTTCTCCATGTTCTTTTCCACATATTTTGATAACACTAAAACAGACCAAATTCATCCCCATTATATTTCCACTGAAGGCAATGGGGATACATCAGGGATGAATTTGGTTCAGTATATTTATGGCGTTATGGTTATGATAAACTAACAAGAGGTTGGTAAGGCCAGTAGGCCTAGCTTGTGTGTTTTTACCAAGTATAGAGGGAGATGTGCAAGGATGTAGAATGGCAGCCTACATTTTGTTGGCATGTCACAATAATTAAAAGCTTGTTGATGTTTGCACTTTATTCATCTTATGTCCTAAAACTAAAAATAGTTTCTCTGAATCTCATGAGACAGCTCAGTGCTGTTGTATATAATTTCAACACCCATCAAGAAACCGATTTGTTCTAAATACATGGTAAAGCACCCATTAACTTAAAAAGAAGCTAATGGACAAAATCCTGGCCCCATTTTTTAATTTATAACATTTTTCTATTGTATTTTGGATTTGTAATTCCCTTTGAAAAACAACATTTCGGACCTAAATTAAGTGCTTTTCACCCTCTATGAAATGTGATTTAAGGTGCAATTCTTGAATAGAAGGAATTAAGATAGCTTCAACATGCCATCAGACAGTTTTATAATTATATCTTTCCTGAACATACTCAAGTTGAATGAGCTGTTCGGGGCCTGCAAAAGTTATTGACAAAGTTATTCTCACACAGCTACTGATAAGTATAGGGCTAGGGAGTCTGTCCTAGTCTGGACAACCAGAATGAGGCATGTGGCTGACTATACAATAGTTTAACCTAAAGTGTGGATTCAGCAGTGTCCATATGTCACAGACATGGAAGAATTGCCCACAATCATATGCTGAGCTCTGCGAGACCAGCAGCTTTTAATGCAGGATGTGCTATCATGACAATATGAAGAAGTACAATCACTTTTTCTATTCTCTTTTGAAAATATCAAATTTGAGCCTTTAGCATTTAAAGAAATAATCTAAATGTCAAGCTTTTTAGCGCTCCAGTCTTAGGCAAGAGGTTATTTCTAATGTTGGAAATAAATATAAAACTAGAAGATCACCACAATGTCTGCCAGATGAACACCTTTTAAAGAGCAGTATTCACTTGGAAGGCCAAGAAAGAAGGTAACAAACCCACCAACCAACCAAAAATCTCCCCCAGGGAATTAAAATCATAGGGCCTTTTCCCTTCATGTCATTTTACCAAAGCAATAATGAGCTGCAAGACTGAGTAACTTTTTTTAATTTTATACTTATACAATATTTCCTTTTCTCTATTAGATGGATAAAAAGAAACATGTTAGCATCGTATGACTATAACTCAGTTATCCAAGAACTATCAAGATTCGGTGCTATTGAATCCATGACTCTTTCAGGAAGACAAACAGCTGTAGTTATATTCAAAGATATTATTTCAGCATGTAAAGCAATCAATGCTTTCCCAGCCAACAACCCGGGCAGAAGGATCCAATGTGTTTGGCATCACGAATTCATGTCTGACTACAAGATGTCAGTCCACAGAAAGATAAAACATACAAGTTATTAAAATGTTTTTATGAACTTGTTTCTATACAATACAGTAATAATGAACATCGATAAAAAGGCACAACTTGGATTTACTCCAGAAAGAGTAGTCACTTATTAAAATCCCATCAATGTGGATAAACAGATGAGCTTCTGGAGTTTGATCTTCATCAACAATAAAAATTAGAGTTTTGATTTCTTCTCAAAGAACTTCAGAACAGCATTCATGCATTCATCAGATAACCACCTTTCTTTGAGGCGTTCACACTCTTGACAGTTAACTTTATGCAGCATCTCCTTTTCCACACCTCGTATTAACTGCTTTGATAGTGCCAACGACTGAAAAACAAAAACAACCCAAAAGCTCACAATTAGTGAGGCACACACAGTACAAGCTATGTTATTCCAGACTAACTCTTCAGACTGCTGAATTGAGGAATATGTGAGAAACACTTAATGTGAAGTATCTAAACCTGAATTGTATTTCAGTAAGATTTTTAATTTAAATGTGTGATTTCCCACAGATTGCTGCTTTTGGTGCTGCTAAAACTACTTAGTAGGGTGTGGTTTCAGAAGGAACAATAAACCATCTCATCAATATCTACACAGGTGGACACAAGTGTGAACTGGAAATATGTTAAGACTACCTGTAGCTCCAATATAGTCTGGCATGACCTATTGCAAATGGCATGAGCTATGTCTGTCTACACATTCCAAAAAAAGTCAAAAGAGAGATGGACGACAGATGTGGATTATTTTCTTTTGGGAAGAGAAATTGAGTGTACAGAGATTCTGAATTTTTCCCGTAGGTTATTTGTTAGTTTGTTTAATAATCCACTGTTGAAGGTGCTGAGCGCCCCCAACTCCTGTTAACTTAGTACAAAGAATATTTGCTACAGTAGCTGTAGCAAATTTATAACTACTAAATAAATTTTTAAAAAGTTACACCAATAACCGGAGGTATCTCGAAATAGCTATTACATTTCGAAGTAACAGGCACACTCAAAAGATGCGTAACAGGCTTGCGATTCCAACGTCCCTGTAAATCTCATTCCATGAGGAGTAAGGGATGTTTCAGAATTGCAATGTATTTAGAAATAAGTGCTGTGTAGACAGCACCATATTTTGAAATAAGCTATTTTGAAATTGAGTTGAAATAAGTTATGCACTTTGCGTACCTCAAATTGCACAGTTTATTTTGAGCTATGGTTACAGTGTAGATGCACCCTTAGGGGTGTACCGGTAGTTCGGAATAGGAAGCCTAGTCCGAACTACCTAGTTCGAGCCCCGTGTAGCCGCGCTGCACGGGGTTCGAACCAGCGGGGTTTTAAAAATGGCGGCTCCCCGCTTATGCAAATGAAGCCTGAGGGTATGTCTACACTACCCCGCTAGTTCGAACTAGCGGGGTAGTGTAGACATACCTTTAGAGACTAAGTCTGAGCTCTGCATAATACCTGCTATTGTGTCTGCTCAGAGAAGAGCAGGGACTCTGCTTACAAGATACATATACACAATTTTTAAATACTAACATTTTTGGGGAGATTTGCATAAGCTTTAAGTCTTATCCAAACTTCCTTTTCAAAAGTCTTGTCAGGGAAAACTTCAGTCACAAGTCCCCAGGTACATGCTTCCCTTGCTGTCAACTTTCTGTTGAAAAGAAGCATCTCATTTGCCTAAATGAAAGAAAGAAAAGCGGTCAATCTAATAAAGCACAAAAATTGAGAAACGAAAAAGAAAACTAGAGAAACATAACCCTCAAGTTCGTATTCTTCTTATTCATAGTAGAAAAGGAAGCTTAATGTTGCCTGTTAATTTGTTCTCTGAAAAGGATTTAGCCACAGGTATTCACTGGGAAGTTGCATCCTTTCTAGACCATTATGAAGATGTCCCCACTCTGGCGCTTCGAGTACAGAAAGTGGGGGCCCATTAGAGACTTTAAAAATACCTTTTCTCTGTAGGCATCTTCTCAAAAAGTACAGAGAATCTGGCACAGGAAGGGCCGTCCCCTCAAAAATCATCCTAACAGTCAAAGCTATTAGTTATTCAGTTGTGATACATGGGAGGGATACTACCCTTTTCTAAGCATCTCAGCATTCAGGAATTGAAGGGTTAAACCCAGAACAGTGGGTATCCAGGAAGTGTTCGCAGGGAGTCAGGAGAACCAATGGGAAGAAAGTTTTAAGATCTGAATTCAAAGGAAATCTGCTTCCTGCAGTTCTTGTGTGTTCAAACTAGGAGCTGGGGGGAAAAAAAGATTAATTGAACCAGGCAAGGTTACCCTTGACTAGAAAAGGACTGAACCTTGGAATTACAGATGTTAGTAGACAGGGAATGTTTTAGTTAAGATGCAATCAAGTTTTGTTGTTTGGTTAAATTCCTCTGTCCTGAGTTCATGTGCTCCCAAACATACAGTGTAACTGAAGCTGAAACCCAGAGAAGCCATTCTCTGTGTTTTAATCTGGTTCCTCAGTTGCTCTGTAACACCTGGAAACTATGTATGCTTTACCAACTATGCTTTTGTTTTGTGCATTAAAAAAGAAAAACCCACCACCTTTAAGGCTATAGTCTGATTCCCGTGTCCTACAAAGCGGGAATGTCTACGTACACGTGCCTGAGACTGAGAGGTCAGCTATTAGAAATGATACTTTGTTTTCAAGCTCTCTCCTGAAGGAGGGTAAAAGAGCTTAGGGTACCCCATGGAAAGAAGTTCCCAAGTCAGTCTTCCTAGATTCAGAAAAAGGGGTTTTGCACTTGGGTGGTGGCAGCGTACCATCTAAGGTGAGGGAATCTGTGACCTTGGGGAACACGTGCCTGAGACTGAGAGGTCAGCTATTAGAAATGATACTTTGTTTTCAAGCTCTCTCCTGAAGGAGGGTAAAAGAGCTTAGGGTACCCCATGGAAAGAAGTTCCCAAGTCAGTCTTCCTAGATTCAGAAAAAGGGGTTTTGCACTTGGGTGGTGGCAGCGTACCATCTAAGGTGAGGGAATCTGTGACCTTGGGGAGTTTTTAAGAAGATGCCTACAGAGACAAGGTATTTTTAAAGTATCTTATGGGCCCCCACTTCCTGTACTCGAAGTGCCAGTGGGGACATCAGTTATTCTAAATTCTCCAGGAACTGGCATTCTGTAAATTGTTGAAGAGATCAACCTTGTCTTCCTAGTAACTACAAAGCACCTATTTCCCTGTGTGCTATACAAACTCATCGTAATTTACATTGAGACATTTTGTTAATATAAAAGCAATACATACATGATATAGGTATTTTAAACTGCCAGAATTATTATGGTATACCTAAATAACAGCTATACAGAATTATCAATTATAATAGGAAAATAAAACTGTCTATTTTGATAGAGTACATTTAAGCTGTTTTACTGGATTTTTTTTTTATTCCTACTGCAGGCTCAGAAGAGAGAAATACACATTTTTGTGGCTAGAAAACTAAAAAATAACTCAGGCATCAAGAGGTAGCACAGAATGATTCTGAAAACTGTGACAAAGCTGCTTTATAACTAAACGAAGAAAAAGACTGAAAATATAGTTTTCCCAAAGACTGAGCATTACCTACAACTACTGCTGCCTGCTTATGTTCCATAGAGGGGTGCTTTTAGTGTAATCACCTTCCTGACAAGTGGGCAGGGTGGCAGAGAAAAAAAAAGTTATGCATATCTGGCAGTGGATTTTTTCTTTAGTTTTGATATTCATTTGTCTGCTTTAGTGCTCACAGTGACACTATTTGACTACTTTTCTTCCTATTTAAAAAATGAAAGTTTTAATAATCAGAGTACAAAATACAATAAGATTGGGCTCCATTTAAGCAACTCTCCCTGAGTTACCTTTCTCGCTCATGTAGCTGGGTGACACTACTGAGAAAAACTGGAGTTCAGTAAATGTAGGTAGAAAGTATCAAGTTAAAGTACTGATTTATAGTCTCTTACCTTGGGTAAGCCCATTATCTTTGGAAACATGTAAGAAGAACATCCTTCTGGACTCTGACCAAGTTCACTAAATGGGGTGTGAAATGTGGCCTATTAAAGAGTAAATTCAGCTTTAAAGTGAGAAATCAAACATTACATTTATTATTTGAAATAGAAGAAAAATACTAGTCTTTATGTTAAAGTCTTGACTACAATGGAGTTGGCCACAGAGCTTAATTCGACCCATTACCTTTATAGAGTTTCAAACACAATTAAACACCATGGTGTGACAAGGAGTTTACCCACGCAAATCTTAAAGAGATTAAGGTAGGTTAGATGGGCCAACTAACCACACAGGCTGTATCTAGAGGGGAGCTAGGGATCAATAAAGCTTAATTAAGGGTGAAGTTCACCTGGGCAGGAAGAGGTAGGGCTCTTATAAAGCTAAGATGCTGAGAACAGAAGGGAGAGGTGGTTGGCAAGGAGAAACAGCCTGTAATCACCTTCTGTCATGACGGTGCTTTCTTAGGGTGGGTCTGGTTTCACGAGGCTTACCTGTGCTGATGAAGAAAGGCTTCTTTGTCGGCGCATCGCGTCCAGACTGCCCCGATCTGCCGACAAACAGCTGATCGGCAGATCGGGGGCGGCCCTCTTTCGATCTGGCTAATCTACATGCCTCCGTCGAAGGAGGCATGTAGTCTAGACACACCCTTAGAGATTACAGGTTCCAGGCAAGAGGACAAAGAGGGAAGTAGCCACAGGAAGCAGAGGAAGGTTGGATAGGAGATAAAGCCAGAGGTGCCAGAGGGAAGAAGGGAGTAGGACATAGCCTAGAAAAGTAGTAACTAGGGCTGGGAATAACTAGATCATAGTTGAAGATCATACTGTTGGAGTCTAATTCATCTGATGAAGTGGGTGTTAGCCTAGAAAAGTAGTAACTAGGGCTGGGAATAACTAGATCATAGTTGAAGATCATACTGTTGGAGTCTAATTCATCTGATGAAGTGGGTGTTATCCACGAAAGCTCACAATTCTATATATTTTGGTTAGTTTCTAAGATGCCATAGGACTACTCATTGTTTCTAATATGTATGTGCAACACTTTTCCATACAGAATATTTATATACATTTCCTTCAGAAGTTAAATTGGCATGTAATATAAATAGATACGCAAATATCACTTCTGAACACAACAGTTTTTAATTTACAGCAAAACAAATAATCTCTATGTAAAGGATAATGGCACTTTTTTCTCCCTGCTTAAATTCTATTTCACACTTGAAACCTTGGCTTAGACAATTTAATAAAGTAGTTATGAAACCCTAAACTACTGTCAAGTTAAAACAAAAAAAAAAAAAAAAAAAAAAAAAAAAAAGCCGAACTGATGGATGTCACAGAGTATTTCCTATTTTAAATACGTAACTGTATGTGCAAATTGAATATTAATCGCAAGTTCCTGCCAAGTTTCCAATACCACCATACTAATAAAGGTGGAGCACCTCTATTACAAACAGTTGTACAGTGAGGCAAATTTTAAAAAGGTTTCTTTTTAAAAAAAAGATATGTACTGTATACTAAATTGCACATACAGCATATAGAGTCTTAGAATGATGAACTACTATTCCAACAGACTGGCAGAAAAAAGTTTAATAGATATAAATGCAGGTATACATTAAGGATTACCTTTTTTAGGTTAGGATGTGATAGGTGGTCTTAAAAAAATACTGTAGAGTTTTTGTGTCTGAGGATTGCCTCGGATACAACGTGGATTCATTTCGCTCCTAAAGACTTCTTTTCTATCTGAGTCTGAATCTTCTGTATCATTAGATAACCAGCCGTGTAAATCTGAGTGACTATCTCTCATTTTATTGATATAGGGTATCACATTCAGTTTAAAAATTATCTTCTACTCATATAAAATCTGGACACAGCTCATAGCACCACCACAGGACTCTTACTTTCTGTACAATATCCAATATGAGATGGTAACAATGCATCTTTTCCCCTTTTAATGTTTAACAGATTTTTTATTGGGGAAGTTCAGCAAAGGAATCTGGCAATTCAAGGTTTATTGCTACAGCTTCCTCAGCAGAGAGAACAGTAACCCAGATAAACAACAAAACAACAGAATTCTCTGTTCCACACTAGGTATTTAAGGGGGTAGCACAGAAATAATATATTTTGTTTGAGGAATGACCAAATGGGCCTCATGATCTCTGAGAACATTGTGTAGGAGTATTAAAGAATAATTTACAGCAATTATACGATACTTCTTATTTTGTATGATAATCTATTCTGCATGAATTTTCATCAAGCTTTAGCATGGCTCTTTGTATAGTAAATATGATCTCAGTCATCTCTAATCTGATTAAAGAAAAGCTGTCATTTTATTGCATTTCAGTTCTCTAATGGAATTGAAAATTGTTGGTTAAAAATGGCCTAATAGTTATCAAACTCATTAAAAGCATAATTTCACATCATCTTTCCCTTTACTGTGCCAACATGTAATGACTTTCTTCACTAGAGCTCATATTGAATCCCATTGCTCTTGACAGTGTTCAAATTATAGACTATATCTACAGAGAAACGTCATGAGTGTAAGAACATCAGTTTAGTTACACCGGTGCAAACCAATGCTACAGATGGGCTGCACTGCTACAAACCAGTACTTACAAATCTGAGTAAATTTCATTCCCACAGATGTCTAGTGTAGACAAGGATTTACAAACACTGAATTGAGATCAGCCATGCAGTTTACTTACCCTGTCAGTAGCATACACAATGTCAAAGAGCCCAAGAAGAGTTACAGAGATTCCAACAGCTGGACCATTCACCACTGCAATCAATGGCTTAGGGAAATCAATAAAGTGGCTGACAAAGTCCCTGAAGAAGGTAAGAGCAGAATTTGTCAGAATGACCTATAAACTTTTGACGAGGAAGACAAGTATTTTTGCAAAACATAAGGCTAGTTATAAATACACAGTTTGTGTAATGTTGTAATAGGAAACATGGTTTTCTACATCTCCCATTAACAAAGAATATAGAATCTACATTAAATATCTACTCTTCCTCTCCAGCTAAGATTCATATGATTGCTCAGTGCTACTTTATTAAAATGCGAACTGCTAATCAAATTAGGAAAATGCCCTCTATTCAAAACCAGGTTCTAGTTCTAATTGTCCCCAGGAGACAAGCTAAGAAGGACAGGAAGTAGGGATGTAAAATCCCAGTTAATCAGTTAAATATTAGGTTAGCCTAATGTTAACTGACTAAAACCAACCAGGCTCCTGCCCCCAGCACCCACTGAGGCTGGCTCTGCTGGCTCCTAGCCCCAATGTGGGGGTTGGGGCTGCTGCTGGTTCCTGGTTCAGCCCCTGTTGAGGTAGCTCCGGCCTGTAGGGTGCCTAGACTCCCTGCAGACAGATGCTGCTCCAGACACTGGATTAGTTCCTGTCTACTGGGCACCTGGGCCTGCTGTGGACAAAGGCTTCTCTGGACAAGAGCAGTCCCTATCTGCAGTGTGCCCCCTGTGGGAAAGGTAACCTGGTAACCTTTCACATCTCTAACAGGCACCACATCATTGTTTAATAGCTTTCCTTTTCTCCCCAGCCATTCCATTTCTATTTTTGAGACAGTCATCCTTTTTCAGCTGTTTAGTTTTTATTTTGCCACGATGCCCCAGCATGTTCCAGGCTAATGATGTCATAACTACCATGGAACCTCACTACTTCTCGTGGATACAGAGACACTTAAGGATGTTCTACTGTATTCTACACAGTTATTTTGTAGCCTGAAGGATACAAAACATGTTTGTTTTGGGGATGTTAGCAGCATAGTGAATACAAGGGCACCACAAAAGTAAGAGAGTGAAAGCCTGACATAACTTGAAAGAAAAAGTAAAACTAAACAGGTGAAATTTTCAGTATTGTACTAAATCTCATACTTGCATGATTCATGAGGAGCATTTACCACAAACTGAGATACAAAGTTTTCAAAATAGATCTTGGTCTTGCTGTTGTCTCTTAGGGGGGGAAAGTGACGTCCACAGGCCACTTGCTTAACTGAGGATTCAGGCCTGCTTCTCACCATTTGCAGTTTGTCTTTAAATATTGGCTAGAAAGTAGCAAGTACCCATCTACTTAACTTAGGGTTTTTTATTGTGCATTACTGTAGTGTCTGATGTTTAAGTCAGGAATCCAAAGTACGAGTTTTTCTCAAAGTTTCCTTCTCAAATTTATAAGCATACCAAAGAAATGGTGGAGTTAAAGATCTCCTAATCCGCGTTTCGCTTAAAACTGAGGCATAAAAAATACAATGAAATATCAGTTTTTGCCTGCTCTAAGCTATATTCCAGCCACACTGTCATCCCACATATCTGCCCTATATTTGTCCTGCAACTTACAATGATGCATTATCTACCAATGTACCTTAAAAACTGTAAACTGTAATTTTTCACTGTTCAGCTTGTAAGGAGGAAGTATGGTCTTGTAGTTAAGGCACTAGATAGTGACTCAAGAGAGGTGTTCTGTTCCCAGGCTCTAGGCCTAGGCTACACTAGAAAAAGTCTGCTGGTTTAGCTACTAGGTATGAAAAATCCTGTTAAATTAGTTAACTGGTTAAACTTTGTTTAACCAATTAAACTGGGTGAATAGGCCCACCATCCCCCACTGCAGAGAGGTCTGCTCTGGACAGACTGAAGCCTCCACTTGTTAATTGTAACCAGTAAGCCTTACCCATTAAGGGAGAGGCTTACCAGTTCAGCCGTTAAACATTCACATCCCTAACAGCTACATGGGGCAAACCCTCCTGAGGGAGATGTAGCTTTTATCAATAAAAAGTGCTCTTGCTAGTATAGCATCTATAGTTTCCTGAACAAAATAAGGTACACTGTAAAACTGCATCTATATTAGAGTTTTTACTTGTACAGGGATGTCATTTTAAAAAATAAAAATCCCAAAGTCACCCCTGAACTGACATTAGTATATTGGCAAAGGTTTCTAATGGAGACCTAAGCTTAATTCATGTGCTTCATTTCCTCATTTATAAAGTGCGGTTAATACTTCTTTTCTCCCACTCTCGTCTATGTACACTGTAAACTCCTTGGGACTGAGATCTCTTTTACTAGGTGTATGTATAATACCTAGTATTATTGGGACCCTACTTGTGGCTGAATCTTGTAAGTTTAAGTTAAGTTAAATAAGTAATATCCTACCCTTTACAGAAGCATACCCACATACAATATACAAAAATTCCTACTCAAGTAATACTGCACCATCTTTTGCCATCTTCTCTATTCCACCGGATGGGATATTGGTAAAGTTATTAAGGTCATTTCCACTACAGTAATAATCCCCATTTCCTGCAGACAATAAAGACAAAAATTTATGAGTTGGCAAAATAAAGAAACAAACTTTCTTTTTCTTCTGTGTTTAGAAGAGAAAGCTTAACTTAAGACATTTTGGGTAGGTAATTAAGAAGTTGCCTTAACACAAATGATTCCTTGTTAAAGGATCTCTTCAACCTAAAAGTATTAATGCTGATATTTTTATCCTATTATTGGTACAAGTAACGCATAAAAGCTGTGACGAAAGTTGGAGTTTAAAAAAAAAGTATACTTTCTGCATCTGATCACACTTTATGAATAGTTAGCTTCACTATTTCATATTTCACCATTGCATATAAGTCAGCTTACCCTCTCTGTCTTGTTTACTCTTCTTTTGTTGCTGTGTGAAAGACCATGTTTAAAAGCAAAGAGGAAAATACAAGTATAGATTTTTGTTCTCCCCTCAAATTTGATAGGGAAATGTAAGTTACTTAAACCCCTACCCCTCCTAAATTTCATGTTGTGTTCTTAAAAACAAACAAACAAACAAAAACCATGAAAAAAACCCAGTAACCTACAGGGAAGACTACAAATACCACCATATCTTACAATACAAGGCAATTGGGGACACACTTTTCAAACAAGAAGGGTGTGGTCAAAAAGTTAGAATACTTCAACTGTATGATTCCTTCCTATTTCTAGAACATATATTCTATAGCAATGGCTAAAGGCTCCAATATTATAAACCCTTGTATACTTTCATAATTCTATGCCCAAATAGTCCTTTTTACTAATAATCTGTGTAAAGTTATGTGCATAGGTGTTTGCAGGATTGGGTCCCACCTCTTGTTTTGGTTCTCTGACAATACCACCCAGATACCACAGTGATGGATGGCCAACAAATGCCAACAAAAATTACCCTTCTTCCTGCTTTAAGGGTAGTATAGGCAAAGTTACTCCTCTTAGCTTATCAAGAACAGTTATTTCTACCATGTTGATACATGTTACATTAACTAAAACGGGACTATGAATAGAGATGTTAAAATGTGTTTAAGTAAATGTGTAACTAAAAATGTTAGCAGTTACATGGGGGAGAAACTGGAGAAGGTTCAGAGAAGAACAACAAAAATGATTGAAGGTCTAGAGAACATGACCTATGAATAAGACTAAAGGAACTGGGCTTGTTTAGTCTGGAAAGGAAAAGAATGAGAGGGGACATGATAGCAGTTTACAGGTATCTAAAAGGGTGTCACAAGGAGGAGGGAGAAAAATTGTTCTCCTTGGCCTCTGAGCATAGGACAAGAAGCAATGGGCTTAAACTGCAGCAAGGGAGGTTTAGGTTGGACATTAGGAAAAACTTCCTCCCAGGGTGGTGAATCACTGGAACAAGTTGCCTAGGGAGGTTGTGGAATCTCCATCTCCGTAGATATTTAAGAGCAGGTTAGATAGACATCTATCAGGGATGGTCTAGACAGTACTGGGTCCTGCCATGAGGACAGGGGACTGGACTCGATGACTTCTTGAGGTCACTTCCAGTTCTAGTGTTCTATGATTCTATGCTGGCGATGAGGTATGCAAGTTAAATAACTGTATCTGCATTTATATTTTCCACTATCTTTCACAAAATAGCATCTCAGAAAGATATTTAGAGGCTGAAGAAGTACAAATCTGTTCAGGAACTTTTTAACATTATCTTGAAAGGATTCTGCTGTGACACACTTGAAAAAAGAGGACATGTTCCTATTTTAGTTTACTTATTTGCACACAATTGTGCCTTAGTTTGCTAATGTTTATCTAGCTCAGTGTGTACAAACTGGGGATGGAGGGCACAAAAGGTTTTTTGGGGGTGGGAGAGTAAGGAGAAACTTCACCCTTCAATGTTAAAAACATACAAATATCACTTTCCACAGCAGACTTACTAGCACCCCATTGCCACTCTTCTGTGCTGCTCTTGGTGGCAGTGCATCACTGATCTGTCAACATTGTACAAGATGGACCTTCCTGGTCCAGGAGCCTCGGGACCTGAGTAGCCCCAGATGAGGGATTTTTCCAGACCAGGGAACGTCGTTTCAGGCCCCCCTGTTTCTCCTTCCCATCCCCCAGCCCAGCTGAACCATACGCCAGCTCCCATCCCCCCTCCCTGCAGCCCAGCTGAGCTGTGCACTGGGCTTCCTGGTTCCCGTCCCCCTTCCTTCCCACCAGCCCAGATGGGCCGCATGTCCCATTCCCCTCCTCCCTGGCATAGTGCCAGGATCCCAGCCACCCTCCCCGCACAGCACACTAGGGCTCTCTGATCCTCAAACCACCATGAATGTTGCAGACCAGAGAGTTCTGGTTCACAGAAGTGCAATAAGTTAAAATTCATCATCTCTTCTAAAAAAAAAAAAAAAGTAAAATGAATCTGGTTGAGAAGCCCCTGAAATGTGATACCTGTTACAACAGTTATAACGGAGTCATCCTTGGCAGCTTCTTCAACTGCTTGAATAATTTCTCTATACATCTAGGTAAAGGAAGGATTAAAAAAGGAACATAAGAAGAAAGCTATGATGCCACAAAAGAAAACCCACCCTGAAAAAAAAAAAATCAAGAATTTGGAAGGGCCAAATTTTCCAAGGAATGCCTCTCAAATTGTGCCTGCAATGTACGTACGTGGGTCATGTGTGCCTATAACAGTTACATATTGTAGGTCCGATACATATATCCACCGAGGAGACGTGCAAGTCTGAAGGCCAGAATTAGACCCCTTGAAAAGTGCATATAGATTGGATAAAACTTATTTTAAAGTCTGACAAATGACATACACGTGTAAATTTTAAAAGGGTTTACTTTGGCTGCTTTACAGCAATCCCCTGAGCATTTTGTACTTCTGCAAGTAGTTGCAGGAGCAGGTCATCTATCCCAGTATTTCTCAACCAGTGGTACATGTACCCTCAGGGTACTCGAGAGAAGTCTGGGGATATGCCAACAACTGAACATTGGAGAAAACTAAATTTTTATTTTAAGTTTTACAATGCTTTATTATTTTTGTACTTTTTACACCCAAAAATTTCATCGCCCATCCGACTACAATTAAGCTGTTTAAACAAATGTGTTGTAATGGTAGCAAAAAAATTGTGTGTGTCTGAAAACTAGGTACTGGGGGTATTTTTTTTTTAAAAGGGGTACTTACATACAACTTTGCTAAAACAAAGTTAGGAAATCTTACAAATTCCTTAGTTTAGACAAAGAGATCTTGATATCCTAACTCTTATTTTGGCTAAGCCTACACTACAGATGAAGGGTGGCTGAAGGCATGCAATTCTAGCTATGTAAAAAACACAGCTGGAGTTGATGTTCCTTAGGTCGAGTTGTGGTGCCGTTCCCACAGTGGGAGGTCTACAGGAGAAACATTCCTGTTGACTTCTCTTGCTCCTTGCAAGGAGGAGTTCCGGCATTGACAGGGTACCCACATTGTTCAATTTAACAGGTCTTTATTAAAGCTGCTAAATCGAATGCCAAAAGATTGACCACTACAGTGTTGAGTTCCTCTGTATTGTAGACATGGCGATGTTTTTCCATCGGTAGATTTGAAAATACTTCACAATCTTTAAAACTACAGTGAACCCTCGCTACTTCGCGGTTCGACTATCGCGGATTCACGACTTCGCGGACTTTTTTCATTACATTATGTATATACGTGAATCCGCGATGGTCGAACCGCGAAGTAGCGGTTACCAAAACTTTAAAAAGCCTCCGGGGAAGCCGGCGGGGGGGCATCCCAGGCGCGCCTGGGCTGCTCCCCCGCCGGAGCCCCTCCGCGGCTTTCAAAGCCTCGGGGGAAGCCGGCGGGGGGGGCATCCCAGGCGCGCCTGGGCTGCTCCCCGCCGGAGCCCCTCCGTGGCTTTCAAAGCCTACTTCGCGGATTTTCACCTATCGCGGTAGGGTTTGGAACCTATCTACCGCGATAAACGAGGGTTCACTGTATATGTACAGTATTATGGGGGCTAATTTGGCTATGACAAATCAGGAAAGAGATCTTGGAGTTATAGTGGATAGTTCTCTGAAAACTTCCACACAGTGTGCAGCGGCGGTCAAAAAGGCAAATAGGATGCTAGGAATTATTAAGAAAGGGATAGAAAATACTACACAGAATATCTTACTGCCCCTGTATAAAACTATGGTATGCCCACATCTTGAATACTGTGTACAACAGGCTTTAGTCTTATATTCTCATTCTAAAGAGACCCATGCGTTTGCCTAATTCTACACATGGCAAGTAGTCTTACTAACATGAATGGGATGACGCACAGAATGTAACATTAAGTATAGGCATAAGTCTTCGCAAGTTCTATTAGCTAATCTAAGATATTTACATAACTCCCATTGCCCTAGTACCTCACTTCTCCCCCTCCCCCCAAAATGTACTTATGTACTCCATATGCCTGTGAGATAGGGAAATATCTTCATTTTACACGGAAATATCTTCATTTTACAGATGAAAAAGTGACACAGAGAAAAAGAGAAAGCGAGAAAGTGACTTTGCTCCAGGTCACAACACAGGAAGCCTGAAGAGGAGACAAACTGAATGTGGGTCTCCTGAATGCTTTCGCCACCGCCACTCTTCTGTATAGTTATATCTAATACCTGTATGATTAATAATAGAAAATCTATTATATCTGATACAGCAATATTGAACATTATGTCAGTTGATCAGAAACTGGAATCTGCAGAGGGTACCGTATATTCCGGCATACAAGACGACTTTTGATGTTAAAAAACATCCCCCAAAAATCGGGGGTCGTCTTGTACGCCGGGCATACATCCCAGGCGTGCCTGGGATGCCCCCCCCGCCGGCTTCCCCCGAGGCTTTGAGGATCCTACTTCTACTTCGCGGATTTTCATCTATCGCGGTAGGGTTTGGAACCTATCTACCGCGATAAACGAGGGTTCACTGTAACCAGAATATAATCTTTCTGCAGTTTACAGGCTCAATTAAGGGTAGGATTTAGGTCAACACTAGGAGCTTCTGAAAAAAAATCAGAACCTTAAAAAGCTGCTTATTATTAGCAAAGTGGTTGGTTTTTGTACATCAACTCAAAGCTAAAGAAAAGATTGAAGTGGAAAACAAATGAGACACTGAATGGCAGCAGAAGAATTACATAAATTGATTGAAAGAGCAGGGAAATAGAGAACATACCAGAACTGGAGGGAAAATAAAAGTCTGTTCTCTGCTTTGGAAAACACACAATCAAGACATTATGCCTAGGAGACAAATACTAAGAGAAAGAGCAGCTGCTGCTTTAGGCTATGATTGCACTTTAACAAAGTATATTCTTCCAAGTTATTTCACACAATTGTAGTGCTCTGCATGTGTCCATCTGTATCGCTAGAGTGAATTGTGGGGTCGCCACTGCTTAGGGCTGAAGGTTTTAACTGCCATTGGTTTCAATGGGACTAGAGGAATTCAGTAACTCATAGGATTGGGCCCCAATATTTGAAAGTCACTCAGGAAAGTTATAAAACTTCTCCACATGTCAGTGAAACCAGATTTCCTGATGTAAGATAATATTTAACTCGTGAAGTCAATCTCTTTACCTGTGTAGTGATAGCATTTTTCTTGTCAGGGCGGTTTAGCATTATCTTAGTGATATTGTCTGTGGTGGTAACTTGTAGGGTTTCATATCCTTGTTTGCTCTCAGAAGTGGTATCTTTTGCCTTGCTAGAGGGCTCAGAAGAGACCAAACTCAACACAAGATCAACATATTTCTGTCTGGCATTGTCCTGTGATGAGAAAAATCCAAAAATAAAATTATTAAGAAATGCTGGCATTCACCTCAGTCTCCTCTGCTTAATGCAATGATGACCTGAAAATTGGAGTTTCTTCTCAGTGTACAAGCAAACTAGAAAAATCAGTTTAAATGGAAGCTATATTTATCAAGGTGCAAATAAGGACATTTACTATATTCAACAAACAAGCTAGACAAAGGAGACAGTCATCCTTGTTCTCCCCCACATACATACACACTCAGGGGATTAATCTGTATGGCAATGAAAAGGGCTATAAGGACCATTTCATTTTTTAAATGCTAAAATATGACAATTAGAATAACACTTTTAAAAGCAGGCAAACAAACCTTTCTTGATTAAATAATTGCACCTACAACTTTTGTAGACTGCCATCAACTGTCAAGTTTACATAACAAAAACATAAAACCAAAATGTTTTAGAAATGTGTAAGACATAGTGCAGAATATGACAATGACAGAAATGGACTTTCAACACATGATATGATTACACAGTAGCCCTTCATTGATCAATATCAAGTATCTGGTTTGTGAATGAAGCGATGAATTGAAAACAGTGATATAGTCCTACCTTAGACAAACTGCCAAGTGAATTCCATGCATCCCATTTGGCCTTCTTGACAAAGTCAAGCATGCTAGGCTTCGGAGAACTGCAGGGACCCTCAGTAGCCTATATAAAGGGTGGAATAAAATCATATAAGCTTTCAAGTAAGTTCAAATTTCTCAACCAGTAAACTGGGGGCAAAGAACACAGCCCCTCTATTAATCATTACAAGATCATGGCACAGAAGCTCAGAAAAACAAGCATGCTTCAAAGAAAAGAGTACTGTACAGTCTCTATTATATTATCTTTTAAGCTTTTAAGACAAGCATGTAAGTTCCCAGGAACCTAATATCAATATTGTACAAGCACCAACCATTTTAAATAATTAAAAAAAACATGTTTATAAAAGCTGTATTTATGTATACAGCTTACAAAAATATCATTGTGTGGGATCAAATCAATATTTAAGAAAGGAACATAACATACAGGGGAGAAATATTTAGACCCCAGAAAGGTAAGTTTGCTAATTTACTCATCTCAGCTGTTACTGACAAGAGCATGCAGAGGTCTATCTTTAAAAATGTTCGCTTACATTTTATTAAAACAAAAACAACAAGATATTGCTCAAACTGAGCCTCTTTTAATCCCGCCTCCTCCAATACACTTCATACCAGTGGTTTTCAATCCTTGGTTCAGGGACCCTTGGGTTCTGCAGACTATTTTCTAGGTCACCTTTCACAAACGCCTGGCTTAGACAAAGTTTCAAGACCCAGAAAAGGCATTTCATTTTTCTGATGAAAGTATGTGAACGCTTCCACCTTCAGGTCAAAATTGCTGAATTGTTGTCACCATAGATGTCCACAGTTTAGCACCCTCACACTGTATCAAATGCTGTACTGAGCATGTGCTACATTTATAGATATATTCTGTTTAGCCAGTTTTCAGTGTAAAACTATGACAGGGTCCATAAACCACAGGATGAGTCTCCAAAGGGGTCAGATTCTGCCCCTCTATTTGAAAATGCTTAGGACTCCATAAATGAAAAAAGGCTGAAAACCACTGCTTCATACCATTACAAAAAGATTCTGTTAGGGTAGTAATACCCACCCCACCATAGAGAGGATTATGTAAACTATCACATTGCCTGCTTTAAGCCTTAATAATAAATATTACAATAGGTTGAATCGATAATCATTTAACACTAACTAAATGGTGAATTAATTGAGTAATTTTATTCTTCAAATTCTGTCAGAATGCAGGACCTGTACACACTGGCAACCAACACAGCTAAAAGGGAGTGAATTGGATTATTTTTCTTCTTAAGCATCAACAATTCCACACACATGCACAGAGTCCAAACCAAGCTTCACGCTACACCAAAGATGGTGGAACGGCACAGGTGTCACTAAAAGCATGAGTCGAGGAGAACTCAGCTTGACTCTCAGAGCTCAGGCTAAGTTTGCAGAGCTCTTATCTATTGTTAAAAAATTAAAAAGCCTTTTTGAAAGGTGATGAAACTGCCCAGATACAAAACGTAGAATGTTATAACGTCTTTTAAGATTTCTTTTACAGTAACTTTTAAGTCTCTAGCAACAATTTAAATAAAAATTATCTGACTAACCTGCTTAAACAATGCATAGAGCTTCAACTTTACTTCATTACCAGGGTCCACCTTCAAAAGTTTCAGCTGGTCTTTAGCCTTTTCAAATTCTTCCTGACTGACTCGCATGGCAGCTCCAGTCATGTGCAGCTGAACTACAGGAAAACAGACAGCATAGGCTGTCCTACTATAAAAAAAACAAAAACAAATATTCACTTATAGCTGGTTGTTTAGCCCGCTGTAACTATAAATATTGTTTTTCAAGTCGTTTTAATCTTTGTCTTTAAAAAAAAAATATTTGCAGGGTCACCAGAAAGTTTTTTTGTGTGTTTTTTTTTAAACAAAGTGCCCAGTAAATTAATTACAAAGAAGTAAAATCACTGTAGGAAGCTGATGACATTTGTAGCATAATTAACCTCTGAACAACTAGTAACTATCCCTTTCTTGTACAAAAATTAGATTCTAGAGATAGTCAACCAGGATGCTAGGAGAAGAAAAAGGGGATAGAAGGAGAAAGTTATGTGATCGGGGCCAGCAGAGCTGCAAAATACTGATCAATTGCACTTGTGGCAAATTAATTTATGGGTTAAAACGAACATTAACTCCACTGAATCCATATATTCTGGCTTAAATGGAGAACACAATGGAAAAATATATTGTTGATACAGTCAATGTTGTGTATAGAGTAGAACCTAAGTTATGAACACTTCACAAATGGAGGTGGTTCATGACACTGAAAACATTCATAATCCTAAACAAAACGTTATGGCTGTTCTTTCAAAAGTTTACACCTGAACAATGACTTAATACAGCAAGGGGCGGCAGGTTTGTATGATTTTTGGTAGTGCCCAGAATGTCCCTCACTCCTCCCCCACTCTCCTGACTCTTGCCCTATTACCAACACCCCCTGACTCCCAATAGCCATGCCTCTGGAGGTAACACTCTCAGGGCAAGAGGGACACATGACCAGAAGTAAAAGGTGTTATGAGACCCCCGTCTAAGGACTTTTCCCACCATCCTCCTACCAATACTCATTAGTTTGGCCCCCACCAAATGCCCCTCGGGCAACTATCCTGCAAATTGCATTAACCCAATGTGTGTCACATTAACTTGGGGGCGGAGAGGCTGGGGGAAGTGTTCCCTCCCATGAGCAGAATGAATTTTGTGTTGTGCACCAATACTGAGTTCATGTGGCTTGTTTGGATGTGCCACTGTGGCACCCAAGTTATTAATAAATATCTTATAAACCTTTCCCTTTTCCCTCTGCTGCCATGTCTCCTCCCCTTATTCCATCAGCTCCCCTGGTGCCTGCTGCCCCCCAGCCCTTCACCCTCCTCGGCTGTCCTGACTCCTGCCTGTCTCACTGCCCTCAGCCATCCTGAGACCTGCCCTCCTCCACCAGCCCTTCTCTCCCCCCTCCTCCAGTAACCCCACTCTGATCATGTGAGCTACCCCTCCTCATCCCCTCTCCTAACACCTCCCTCTACACACCTGCCCTGCCTGTCTCCTCTGGTGCTGGTCCCTCCCCTGCAGGTTCTACCATATTTAGTTTACAAACTATATAATCTAAAAAAATGTCTTGTAGGCTCAGTCCTTTTTCTATAAACACTTCAAGTCTAAAGATAGCTAACAAAATACTGGCGTCTATTTTTCTGATTCTTCTCTAAGAAGAGTGAGAATCAAGAGCAACTCTAATGAGGGCTGTGGAGCTGCACCCCATCTTTTATATTGGTGTAAAAGAAGAATCAGACCCAAACATTTCTGCTGACATTTGGGACTAGAGTGGGTCAAAATATCTGACTGAAGTTTTCCATTAGAAAAATGTAGATTTGTCACAACTGAAAAATGTTTTGCCAAAATATATCAATTTCAATTAAATCTTCTCTTTGGAAAACTTGAAACGAACCATTTTTACTCATTTCATTTTTGTTTTCACTGTAGTCTAATAATTTCCACACTTTATACATCTGATATTTTATCTATTATAATATTATAAAAAATGTGTTTTAAGGTTTCTGAATAAAAATATGTCTGCATTTCTGTTCTGTGAAAAATGTTGACTTTGTCAATTAAAGAAGTAAACAAATTCTGAAATATCTGTATTTCCCACAGAATGAAAATTTTATTTTCTAATCAGCTCCCGTTGGGCCATTAATAGGTAAACATTTTCCAGATCTTAATTTCAGATAATGTGTATTCATTCTGTTAGTACTTCCATTACAAAAATATTCTTTTTAAAACCAGAGCCATAGCAAGTAATTTACCCATATTCCTGTACACACAGACAGAATCTTAGAAAAATCCAGAATGCATTTCCAAGATGTTACATAATGCAATATCTAACTCCCTTGATTGACACATCCATCTTATATAAAAGATATTTTATGTTTTTAAGCATGAAACAAAATTACAGGCAAAGAATAGTAATACAATATTGGATTATAGTGCTTTTTCATGAGATGCAAATGTTCCAAAGTCATCTCATACTTATAAATGTAAGGGCTATCAGAATGTTGATCTAGTTACAGCCCTTTTGGGACACAAACATTAACACTGGCATTATTTGATTTAAGTTCCTGGTATTTCTTCCTTTTTTGGGCCACTGAGTTTGTGTAGGTGTACAGGCAGTCCCCGGGTTACGTACAAGATAGGGACTGTAGGTTTGTTTTTAAGTTGAATTTGTATGTAAGTCAGAACTGGTACATATTGTACCCCAGGTGTCCCCAATTCAGCCGCTGCTGAAACTGACCAGCGGCTGACTACAGGAAGCCCGAGGCAGAGTTGCTTTGCCCCGGGCTTCCTGGAATCAGCCGCTGATCTGTTTCAGCAGCAGCTGACTTCGGGACACCTGGGGTAGAGCAGCTGGGGTGCTGCCAAGTTGGTCCCCGCAGTGCCGAGGTGCGGCGCTGCGGGGACCAACCTGGCAGCACCCCAGCTGCTCTACCCCAGGCGTCCTGATTCAGCTGCTGCTGAAACTGACCAGCGGCTGACTACAGGAAGCCCGAGGCAGAGTTGCTTTGCCCCGGGCTTCCTGGAATCAGCCGCTGATCTGTTTCAGCAGCAGCTGACTTCGGGACACCTGGGGTAGAGCAGCTGGGGTGCTGCCAAGTTGGTCCCCGCAGTGCCGAGGTGCGGCGCTGCGGGGACCAACCTGGCAGCACCCCAGCTGCTCTACCCCAGGCGTCCTGATTCAGCTGCTGCTGAAACTGACCAGCGGCTGACTACAGGAAGCCCGAGGCAGAGTTGCTTTGCCCCGGGCTTCCTGGAATCAGCCGCTGATCTGTTTCAGCAGCAGCTGACTTCGGGACACCTGGGGTAGAGCAGCTGGGGTGCTGCCAAGTTGGTCCCCGCAGTGCCGAGGTGCGGCGCTGCGGGGACCAACCTGGCAGCACCCCAGCTGCTCTACCCCAGGTGTCCCGAAGTCAGCTGCTGCTGAAACAGATCAGCGGCTGATTCCAGGAAGCCCGGGGCAAAGCAACTCTGCCTCGGGCTTCCTGTAGTCAGCCGCTGGTCAGTTTCAGCAGCGGCTGAATTGGGGACACCTGGGGTACAATATGTACCAGTTCTGACTTACATACAAATTCAACTTAAAAACAAACCTACAGTCCCTATCTTGTACGTAACCCGGGGACTGCCTGTTTTGCCCATCGTCATTTATACAGGGAGAATGGTGACACAGTATTGCCTGTTATTGCAAACTGATTTAACTCATAACTGGCTCCAAAAGCCTGAGTTTTAAAAAGAAAACACCAGTAAGTCATGCAATTTGACGTAAGAACCACCATGTCATAAGAAGCAAAAAGACTGAAGCCTTTCAGATGAGCTAACCAGCATTATGGCAAACGTTAAACAGCCATGTATTCTTTGTGGGGGGGGGGGGAAGAATTCTGAAGATTTTGTTACAAGGTATCCCCAATGTATTCCGAATCAGTTATGCTTTGGTGTTTGTCAAGTGACGTTTCTTCTTTAGAAAGAATGAAAAAAGGCAGTCAGACGGCAAAGAATTAAGAACAGCAGGTTCCCTTCCAACTCAGAGCTACAGTCCTTGACACCCAAGCGTTTCATGGGGTTCTATCTAATCCAAACACTTCAAAGCTGCTAGGTAGACAGATGACTTGTATTACTATTATGGCACTTTTTATTTCCTTCCCTTCCTCTCTAAGGATGTTAGAGATCATGGAATTGAACAGTTGTGTAACCGCAGGAAATCTTAGCTGTTACAACTATTCAACAGTCCCCAGAGGTGGAGCCATTTGTCTAGTTTTAGTAGTGGAGTCGCAGACTTTTTTTTTTTTTTTTTTTTTTTTTTTTTTTTTGGTGTTAAAGAAAATTGTTAGTGTGCTCCCAGCCCCACTTCTGGGGGGGTCCCCTGCCACCTTGCGCTGCTGCCTCTGTATCAAAGAGAGCAGCGTGGGGTGGCAGGCAGAAGCTGGTTCATGAGGGAGAGACTGCTGAGCAGCAGCAGCCTCTGTCCGCAGGGAGCTTGGATCCCCTATGGACAGGTGCTGTTGCTGCGGAGCAGCCTCTGTCCGCAGTGAGCCTGAGCTGCTGTGGACAGAGCCTGCTTCACGGCAGCATCCCCTGCTCCCCCTCCTCACTGCCACCTCTGCCTTGGCTCCAGCCTACCCCTTCACCCTCAATGCTGCTACTGTTAGAGGCAGTAGCACGGAAAGGGGGCAGGCGGCAACAACTTTTAAAGCCAGCTCCCCCCAGCACTAGCGCTGCCTCTGTAGGAAGCAGCGGGGGAGGGAGAAGAAGAGTAGGTGGGTCTATGGAGACAGAATGTCTGGGAATCCTGCTTGAAAGCCAGCTCCCCCCACACATTCTGCTGCCTCTCTATCAGGTAGCAGCATGGAGATGGAGGGGGCAGCTGCATCCGATGCTCATGGGGAGCCAGTTTTAAAGCCAGATCCTCATGGACCCCAGCTCCCACTCCCTCCACCCCTAACCTCTTGCTGCCTCTGATACAGAGGCACCAAGGAGGGGAGTGAATGTAGTCAACAAGATTAACCAATGAACCCAGGCCTATCAGTTAATTGTTTAGTCGACTACACGTTCACATCCCTATTCCTCCTGTACCACTCCTTTACTGCACTTTTTAAAAATCTTTTTCCCTCACTTGTATATCAATTTTCTGTAGACCATTTGTGATTTGGTCCCTGTTACGTGCGTTCTCTCCCCTAGTCT